CTGACCTCTACTATAAAATCCACCGAAGAAAACTTAATCTGGCCAACCTTTAATCATATGTAGAAACAAAATTAGCTTGGAACATCGGTGCCGCATACCTTTGGTATACCCCCGGCTACTTGGGGGAGGCTGAAGCGCCAGGAGGCCATCGATTTGAGCCCAGGAGTTTTGGAGGTTTGCCCCTGTGAGGCTGAGGCATGACGCCACGGCACTCCACTCTAGCCTGGGCAACACAAACGTGAGACTCTGTCTCCCAAAAAAACCCTCGGCCTCCCAGAGTGCTAGGATTACAGGCGTGAGCCACCTCGCCCAGCCAAGATTACTTTTTTTAAGAGAAAACTTACCAAATTTATTTTAACGTGTATACTTAAGAACTCTCAGAAAAATGAAGATTTCAGGTTAGATTATTGATTTGACATCTTTTTTAATATAGACATTCCCAGTCATAAATTTCACTCTAGCATTGCTTTCCCTGCATCCTATAAGATTTGATATGTTGTATTTTTGTTTTTATCATCTCAAATTATTTTCTAATGTCTCTTGTGATTTTTTTTTGACCCATTAGTTATTTTATTTTATTTTTTTAGATAGAGTCTCACTCTGTTGCCCTGGCTAGAGTGCTGTGGCATCAGCCTAGCTCACAGCAACCTCAAACTCCTGGGCTCAAGCAATCCTTCTGCCTCAGTCTCCCTAGTAGCCGGGACTACAGGCATGTGTCACCATGCCTGGCTAATTTTTTCTATATATTTTTAGTTGGCCAATTAATTTCTACTTTTAGTAGAGATGGGTTCTCACTCTTGCTCAGGCTGGTTTTGAACTCCTGACCTTGAACGATCCGCCTGCCTCGGCCTCTCAGAGTTCTAGGATTACAGACATGAGCCATCATACCTGGCCTGGACCTGTTTTTTTAATCCATTCTGCCAGATTCTACCTCTTACTTAGAGAATTTAATCTGTTTACATTTAATGTAATTACAGATAAGGAAGGACTTCTATTATTTTGCTATTTGTTTTCTATCTAGGTCTTATGCTTTTTGATTAGCCTATTATTTGCCCCAATTGATATTTTTCTCCTTAGGTAGCCAAACAAGTACTTCTAATTGTTATCAATTATACTCTTGGGGAAAGGTTTTTCTACACTTAGTGAGCTCTGAGGTCCAAGTCCTTGGAACCTGATAAATTCCATGTCAAGTCAAATTATGATAGCCTTGCAAGTGGGGTCTTCCAGGGAACCACCACACAGGTCAAATAATGACAATTTTCTTGGTATGAAACTTTGAAGTAATTCTAACCCCATTCCATCCCCTCCTGTGACTGCCAGAGTGTTTTCACCATGAGTGTGGCCTGTTGGTTTTCAAGACTACCATGGAGCTGGGGAAGGAGAAATGGAAATAGGGCAAGTTAAAATGCCACAAAATTTGTTTTTCTTCAATAAATATTCTTTCTTTTTTCCCTTTTTTTCTATCATTTTTCTCTGTATTGCATAAATATTCTCTAGATTGCTACAAGCCCTTCATTAGTGTCTAGAGTTCTAAAAAAGCTTATTCTGACCATTTTGCCAATTTTCTCATTTCTTTTATGGAAGAGAGAATTTTTGGAGGCCTTTGCTCTATCATTTTTGCTGATGTCACTTCTAGCCAATTTAATGACCATTTGTCTATACCTATTCTTTCTGGTAATCTCCATCTTAGAGGGTGAGCCAAGCCACACATACATTAGAGCACATCAAGGCAGTGATGGATCCTGGTCCATAGACTCATGAAAAGGAGAGGAAAGCACCTTTTGAAATACTGCTAGGTTATTTGTGAACCATTAGTTCCCAAGCCTAAGATATGTACTAAAAATCTTTGATCCCCATTTCCTTTGCCCTGGGCCCCAGTATACCTAAATCTCTTTTCCAGTTCATATATTATTTCATGGGATCATTTTTATGCTTTTCAGAAACCCCTTCACCAGCCTCAACTCACAGCCTGTCTTATAGGTGAGTAACACTCTGTTTCCTTTCTCTTGGGATCTGTTCACATTCTGCCAGCAGCCCTGGGGTTACTTCTCCACTGGCCTGTGTCACTGAAATTTATAATCTGCCTTGTAAACAAAAGAGAAGGTTGAATACCACTGTGTTTAATATACATATGAATTATTTTATTCTTAGTTGCAAGCAGGGGATTTATTCCCCTCTCTGGCCTAAATGTATAGGCCCTTCATATGCTTTTTACCTTTACCTTTCCTTTTCTCTGCTGATGCTTTTATTTCCCTTCCTTAGATCTTCATCTGCCTCCTCTGGACAGGGGATTTTTTCTTTCAGACCAACCCTAAATGGGGATTTAGGCCACACAAGAGTCCTCACCCCCAACAATTCTGGTAAGTTAAATAACATTCCCAAAGGAGTGGAGCTTCACCCATTGACACATCTATTAAAATATGTGAGCTCAAGCTCCTGAGCTCAAGGTCTTTCTTTCCTTCTTTCTTTTTCTTTTCTTTTCTTTTCTTTTCTGTTCTGTTCTGTTCTGTTCTGTTCTGTTTTTTCTGTTTTTTTTTTTTTTTTTTTTTGACAGTCTCGCTTTGTTGCCCAGGCTAGAGTGAGTGCCATGGCATCAGCCTAGTTCACAGCAACCTCAAACTCCTGGCCTCAAGCAATCCTACTGCCTCAGCCTCCCAAATAGCTGGGACTATAGGCATGCGCCACCATGCCCGGCTAATTTTTTCTCTATATATTAGTTGGCCAATTAATTTCTTTCTATTTATAGTAGAGACAGGGTCTCACTCTTGTGCAGGCTGATTTCGAACTCCTGACCTTAAGCAATCCGCCCGCCTCGGCCTCCCCAGAGTGCTAGGATTACAGGTGTGAGCCACCGCGCCTGGCCTCTTTCTGTTTTTTTAAGAGACAAGGTCTTGTTCTGTCACCCAGGCTGGAGTGCAGTGGTACAGTTCATAGCTCATTGCAACCTCAAATTCCTGGGCTCAAGTGATCCTCCTACCATAGCCTCTTATAGGGACTGGGACTACAGGCAGGTATCACCATGCCTGGCTAATTTTTTATTTTTTGTGGAGACGGGATCTTGTTTTGTTGCCCCAGCTGGTCTTGAACTCCTGGCCTTGAGTGATCCTCTGGCCTTGGCCTCCCAAAATGCTGGGATTGTACAGGCATAAGCTACTCTGCCTAGCCTATAATGAAGATTTTTCAAGGTACCAAGAAGTTGGGATATGCTCCCCAAAGAGCATTGTCTCCAGTTTGGCTCCTTAATATTCTTTAAGAGTCATTTGATTTCCCTCACAGTGGAGGGAAGCTCTCAATTTTGCCTGAATAGCACTCATCCTGTCACCACTTGAGTCCTACTATTTAGTTACAAGGTTGGCTTATAGCATTAAACTGGCTTTTTTTTTCTAATGCAGGGTCTTGCTCTGTTGCCCAGGCTAGAGTGCAGTGGCATCATCATAGCTCACTTAAATCTCAAATTCTTGGTCTTAAGAGATCCTCCTGCTTCAGCTTCCTGAATAGCTGGGACTATAGGCATGTACCACCATGCCCAGCTAATTCTTTTCAGAGATGGAGTTTCTCTGTGTTGCTCAGGCTGGTGAACTGGCTTTTTTGGATCCCTGTGTTGCATATGTTGGGAGCTCAGTTCTGAGGTTTATAAAACCAATATCCTTTCTTCTCCCTGTCTTTTTCAGTAAAGGTACGATGGCTACCAGTCCTCTTGATAAGGGGCTGCCATCTTCCATAATTCACCTAAATCTTTATATCGTTTATCTTTCTACTTATAGTTAAACTCAAATTTCAGAACTCTCTGCCAGCACCCTGTCCTCACAGGAAAAGAATGGACTTTATAACTCAGCTCTTAAATTGCTTAGCTAATCGTTTTTTCCCTTTTGAATAGTGTTCCTTTGATTAAGAACTACCTAGTTACCCTGACCCGAAAGTAACACTGCTAAGAAACTGCCCAAGTAAGTTATCTTTCACCATTCCATTCTATCCATCAGGTCAGAGGGAGAACAGAACCACACCAGAGAGTCTTCCTGGTTTTCAGCTACCAGTCCTGCAGGTAAGGCCTGGCTTGTCTAATTTGACTGTGCATAAAAACTCACATGGTTAGGCCTTGCTTCATTTTGGTTTCATTATGGGATGGTGAAATATAACCAGTGGAAAATGACATGAGTTTCAACTATGGTAATCATATGGTTACAGTTTTCCAGAATAGTCTCAATTTTAAAGATTCTATCCTGTCAGATTAGCTTCCTGCTTTGGGGTTTTAAAATTAAGTCATGTGGCAGTGAAAGGCTTTAAGCTGAGAGGTCTTGGCCAGGATAAAATAAGTGTGAACACACTGGTAATCCTAGTAGTTCTACAACAAAGTATTTTCAATGGAATATGTCTTTTTGGTGGAAATACTGCTTGAACTAGGAAAAAAAAACATGTTTTCTTCAGAGATAGCTAGAATTTTTTTTTTTTTTTGAGACAGAGTCTCACTCTGTTGCTTGGGCTAGAGTGCCGTGGCATCAGCCTAGCTTACAGGAACCTCAAATTCTTGGGCTCAAGCAATCCTACTGCCTAGCTGGGACTACAGGTGTGTGCTACCACACCCAGCTAATTTTTTCTATTTTTAGTTGTCCGGCTAATTTCTATTTTTAGTAGAGACAGGGGATATCGTTCTTGCTGAGACTGGTCTCGAACTCCTGAGCTCAAGTGATCATCCCGCTTTGGCCTAGTGCTAGGATTACAGGCATGAGCCATTGAGCCTGGCCTAGAATAATGTTTTATAATTTGATGCAACTATCATTCTGATTCAAACAATAAAAAGGAAAAGGGAATGGTAACAAAAAGAGGTTTGATAAGGAGTTCTATTAAATGAAGTCTAGTCTAGTCATGTCTTTTAAATTAACTTTTATGGCTTGGGTATTGAGGATATTTAGGGCCCCTTTTCCATTCCAATATCCTGGTGACCCCAGGGACAATTCCTTCATACTAAAGTAGACATATGTTTTGCTCCTATATTCCAAAACGCCCTTTATTTCATCAGCAAAAAATTAAGGTTTGAGCTTTAAGAGGCAGCAGTGGGGAAATAACATCCCTCACTAAGATTCTCACAATGGAGGGATTAACATACAGATGAAAAATGACCTATAAACCATCTGTAAATACATGGCCCCTAATTGGATCTTGCTTGAAACAAGCTATTAAAAAAAACCACTTATGAGACAATTGAGGAAAATCAGATCTATGGGATATTTGATATTAAATAATTGTTAATATTGGGATTATTTTAGGTGGGATATTATGATTATATTTCTAAAAATAGCTTTTATATTTTGTAACTACACACTAAAATATTTATGGACAGGAAGTTAAATGATGTCTGGGTTTTGCTTTAGTATAATTTAATAGAGAGGGGTAGTGAAAAAGTAGAAATAAAAGATTAGCCATGAGTTATTTGCTGAGGTTGAGTGATGGGTATATGAGTTCGTTATACTATTCTATGTATTTTTTGAAAATGTGAAAGCTTACAAAAACCAGTTAGTGAAGAAAGTGCCATTTCCGCAGAGGCATAAGAATGCTGCCTCCTTGGTAATCATCTCTGGGTATGATAGTCATATATTCCAGGCCTTCCAAAATAGTTTGATTTTCAAATATTCAACCTTATTATCACCATAAACAACTGAAATGTCCTAGAGAGTTTTATAAGTAACAATAAAGCCTTTGTAACACTAAATATATCAAATCTCAGTTTGGAAAAGTTAGTTATCATGCAAGGGGGAAAACTATAGGGAAGCAACCAGCAGTGGTGAACTTCATATAATGGCTTGAGAGGGACTTACTTGCCCGTTTTGTTTTTATAAACACCCATATCTACCTTCCTGTCCTCTGCTGCAGACTCTCTACCAACAACAGAGGCAGATGGGCTTAGCCAGGGGGAGTGAAGCATGGACTACTTCCAGATAGACCATCTTCAAGGTCTGATCTATACATACTGGTGAAGGATGAACTGTAGTAGCACCCAGTACTCATTAGGGGTGATGGCCTTGTAAAATATGCCCCTTTTTGTTTCCTGGTTTTACTCTGTACCTTATTCTCTCTGGATGTTTACCCTATTTACACTGTATTACCTACCAGGGAAGTAGTCAGGTCTTATATGAGGCTAGTGCTTCGGGAAGTTTATGTCTTTCCCAAAAGACCTATGTAGCTCCCCTCATCTCCTACAATTTGAAACAAAGATTGTAAAAATAATTCTTGGTATCATGCTTAGGAGTGGGGGAGGTTGGGGAAAGTTGGGGGAAGAATAATATACTCATCAACTATGTTTCATTTCTGAATTTCACTTTTTAGCTTTGATATATTGTCCTATTGCCAATGTTAACAAGCAACAACTCTGTTCCTTGTTCTAATTTATTATGCCTTTTCTATTTGCCTATAGTTTCTTCTATGTCTAGCTACTATTAAATATGTTGATTTTCCTTTCTGTGAAAATAACAGGTGGAGACACTGATTTTCAGCTTACTAAAGTATTCAGATAATAAAATAAAGAAGATGCCCTCTTATTGTTACTGCAATTCTATTACCATTATAAACTCTAGAATGGCAGAATAGACAAAGAACACTACCACGGAGATCAAACATTTATTTTACTTTGGATACTAAAAGGCAGACATGATTAATTAAATAGGTGGGCCATTCACAGGAAGGCCTTTAGCAAAAATATTAGAAAAACATAAACATAGTGGGCATCTGCCAGAAATAAATTAGTTCTTGGGAATGATCTTATATCTGAATTAGGATCCTGCTGCCCTTATTGGTAGTCTGAATTTATTTATTTTGAGACAGAGTCTCAGTCTGTTGCCTGGGCTAGAGTGCCGTGGCATCAGGCTAGCTCATAGCAACCTCAAAATTCCTGGGCTCAAGCGATCCTCCTGCCTCAGCCTCTTGAGTAGCTGGGACTACAGGCACGCACCACCGCACCCAGCTAATATTTTCTATTTTTAGTTGTTTGGCTAATTTCTTTCTATTTATAGTAGAGACAGGGTCTCGCTCTTGCTCAGGCTGGTCTTAAACTCCTAAACTCAAGCAGTCCTCCCGCCTCGGCCTCCCAAAGTGCTAGGATTACAGGCATGAGCCACCGCACCTGGCCAGTCTGAATTTATTTTTTAAAGGCATTTCTAGACATTTTCTCTTTGGGGCAAGAGCCTATGCTGTAGCAAGCAGAGTTATCTCCAAGACTGTTGTATCTCTGGTCACTCCTGAAGCCTCAGGAATTTTAATCATTTGATGGCTGGGAAACAATCTGCCTGGTCATAGATGCTGAACTTTGAAGTTTTTGTTCTTCTTTTAACTTAACCCTGTAAGCCCTGCCCCTTCAACAAATAAATAAAAAGTATACTAAACCAGAATGTTAATGGATTTGGCTCCATTAGTTCCTAAACCATAGAAAGTGGCAAAATGCAGAAAAAGAACCAGTTTTATTTTTGGCCTTTTTATTATTGTTCTAGCAATTTAGGGCTTCCACTCTTTTATGGTTAACCCACTGATAATATTTATTTGCTTTATATCTGACCCCAACTGATGAAAACCATTCTAAAACATCAATAATTAATTCAGTTAAAGACCATGGTTCCTCTGTCCCTAAGATAGATTCTATAAAGAGAGGGGAAAGTCTCTTTTTTGGACACAGGTTGATAGCAAAAAGATGAAAAATTAGTCTCTGTCAGCTGGACATAAGATAATGTCAGGTTTGTAAAACCAAACCTGGAACCTACCTCCACTGTCCCTCAACCAGGAGAAACTATTCTCTCTCCTCTACCCCTCTCTAACATATTTCTACTTTTTAAAAGGACATCTCCCCTAATTCCCACCTCCAATAAATATCCAGTCTAAATTATTCTCCATTCAGTTATTAAAACTTTTTCACAAGCTCTGTGGGGAAGATTTACCCTGAGACAAATAGTGAACAGTGTGGGGATTTCAGAAAGAGATTTAAAAAAAAAAGCTACAAGGCAAGGTGGTCCCAGTAGCAGACATGAAAACATTCTGCTTCAGGTGTGGTTCAATAATGAGGCAGGTGAAACACATAAAGTCAAGCTGGTGTAAGGAAGAGGAAGTGTTTGTGATGAGACTGGGACACATTGAGATTCCGAGTTGCATTATGCATAGACTTGTGCTCAGATAAGAAGGGGTGCAAGGCAGCCTTATATCCCAGGGAAAATGGTGGGATTGGGGATGCACTGGCATCATCAAGTGAATCAGAATTCTTTACTCCACTTTCAATTCCTTCTGTAGCTGTGGGGCCAAGGTCTGGCGTCTCTGTAGTACACTGAGGGAAAAGAACAGTGGATGTGAGGAGAGCAAGAGCCATTTCCCAGCCTATAGTTTGCCCAGATCCTTAGCACTCTTCACATTAAGGCCACAGGCCTGGATTTCTGCTGATCCACTCCCAGCCTTAACTTTGCATCCTATAGTCATCGTCCCTGGTCCACCCTTACTATATCCCCGTCATCCACCCTGAAGAACACAAAGCTTTTTAGTACTTTGCCATAAAGTAATTTTTAAAAATGTGGTTTCTTTGTTTCAACAGTTAATAAGTTGGTTCATCTTTTAGTAACAGATCTCCCCTCCCCTAGCCCCCCACTCAGTCTTGTATGATCACATCATCATCGTCATCATCTTCCTCCTCCTCCTCCTCTTCTTCCTCATCATCTTCTGGCAGTTCTTCCTCCTCCTCTTCCTCTTCTTCATCGAGACAAACTACAACCTCAGCTGGCTCAGGTAATCGAGAGTCAAACCAGTCCAGTACCTGCTGGGTGCTAAGCCTTGATGCCTTACTCAGTTGAGGGATATCAGTTTCCCGTAGCTGTTGGTGGGCTGCCCAGTACCTCTCCAAGGGTTGTATATCTGGTGGGGGTGGAGGGATCGGCAGAGGTGGCGTCTCAGCCCATTCATTCAAGGAGCGTGTTGATGGTGATGCTGTGGGAATTGCTGGGTCTTGGAAACTAGGGGCACCAGGAACTGTGTTGTCCCGAAACCATTTTAGTTGCCCATGCTTCAAAGCATAGCGTGTGTCACCAAACCACTGAATGATCTCAGGCCGAGGTAAACCAGTGATCTGTTCTAATTTATGATAATCCTCACGCCGCGCCCATTGACATTGTAAAAAAAAGGATTTGAGGATAGCCAGCTGCTCTTTGGTTTTGCGCTTGGTCTTTCGTTGGCGCTGGGTATCTGGGGAAAGGTACTCTGCAGGGCGAACCCTACCTGGTACTGAGTTATGCCGTAGCCTTTGGGGCCAGGCTGGCTCCAGCTGTGGGGGTAGTGCCTGTTCATTGGGTGACAGAGACTGTGGAATACAGCCTTGTGGCTGGAGGGGTTTAGAGGTGGCAGTAGCTCCATTAGCCAGTACCTGGAAAGAGGAAGAAGAGGTAGAGGAAGAAGAAGGAGTCATACTAGATGCTGACTCCTCCTTACAACTACTGGCAAGTAATGAGATTGGTGAGGGCTTATCACGAGCATGTGCCTGGTGGACAGCTTTGGAGTTGTTCCAGGAAGCAGTACCTATGCCATGTGACTGGTTGGGACCCCTGCTTGCCTGCTCCTTAGAGAGGCCACTGCTTTGATGATCCTGCCAAAAATCTGATTGCTGGGGGAATGCTCCACTGCCCGTTGTCATCAGGGGCTCCTTTGCTTTCTGGTGACTCAGTGGCAGTGGTGGTATCTGAGAAGCCTCCTCAGGCTCTACCTTCAATCCTTTAATCTGGGTAGGCTCACTAAGAGTCAGAGGACCTATTCCAAGACCAACTTGTTCTTGAGGTGGCATTGGAGAGGGAGGCACCTCCTCTGGGGGCCGCCCTGCATGATGAGTAAAAGATAGGAGGGATTTGAAATGAAGTTGGTCTCGATGGTAGACCACTCGGGCTCGAGTCTCTTCTATTTCTTCTGATGACCAGCTAATGCCACAGCGGAGGCGCTGGGCCATAAACCAAGTCTTGACTTTCTCCATCTGTAGCCCATAACGTAGGCAGAGAAGGGCAATGTCTGCTAGGCTGGGATAGGGAAAGTAGCTGAAGGTTTGTAGCAAGTGTTCATTGCCATCTAGCTCACTGGTCTGAGCTGCTTGGGTCCACACAAGCTGTAGCTCCTCAGAGATTGGAGGGAGGCAGATGAGCCCCGCTGGTGAGCTATTAAGACTGCTGGCCTCTTTATTAGGAGGCATGGTGCTTTCTGATTTGTGCCCTTCAGAGATAGCTGTAATAAGAAGAGAAACAGCTCAATCACTGGGGCTCCTCTTTTGGCAAATCATTTAATTTCTACCAAACTACCATGTTTCCCCCAAAATAAGCCCTACCCATAAAATAAGCCCTAGCAGGATTTCTAAGCATTTGCGCAATATAAGCCCTACCCCGAAAATAAGACCTAGTGACGGGCATGGCTACACAGCGTATCTGCACAACCCATGCATTTTGTTGCAGAGAGGTAAAGATGAGGAGCAGCCCTTCTCATCAGCCCCATCGTGACAGCTACTATCCCAGAGGTGACCAGAAAGCTGCGGGCAGCCCCACCAACAAGGTCGGCTCCCCCTGTCAGGTCCCAGCCATCCTTGTGCATGCTGCAAGCTGAGGCTTTGAGGGGAAAGTCTCAGTGAAGGAGAGGGATGCTCCACTTTAGGTATTGTGTGTCCCCAAGGGGAAGAAGGAAAGCTGTGGCTGCCATTTTACTCAGCACTGTGGGCCTCTCTCACCCCCCACAAACACCAGAGGCTAGGGAAAAAGCTTCAGCAAGCAGTCTCTTACTGAGCCCAGAGAGATCATTTCTGCTCCACTGTACAGATTGGACCTAGTGCTCACTGGATCTCTGATAAATAATCCAGCCCTGCTCATTTAACGAGAGCTTTATTGCTTGAAATGAGAGATTGGGGCCAATGGTTCTAAAGGAAATTGAGTCACAAGAAATTCAGGATGGAATTCAGGGTTTGGAGAGTTATGATGATGTTCCAGAAGAAGACGACTTAACTATATTTGAATAAATGTAGATTGTTGTACCATACTTAAAAAAAATAATACATCCCCTAAAAATAAGCCTTAGGGTGTCTTCTTGAGGAAAAATAAATATAAGACCCTGTCTTATTTTCGGGGAAACACAGTAACTGTTGGATACCGAAACAAATTTCTATTTGTTTTGTGTTGTATTGCTTTAAAGTGTGTCAACAATTTCTCATTTAATTTTCATAAACTTGTGAAGTCATCAGAGCCTATCATTTCTGTTTTAGGTATGAAAAAACTAAAATTCATAGAAGCTAAATTACTCCAAGTCACATGGCTAGTGAGTGTTGTCACCAAGTCAAAAATCTTTTTTTTTTTGAGACAGTCTCACTCTGTTGCCCTGGCTAGAGTGCTGTGGCATTGGCCTAGCTCACAGCAACCTCAAACTCCTGGGCTCAGGCAATCCTGCCTCAGCCTCCCAAGTAGCTGGGACTACAGGTATGTGCCACCATGCCCAGCTAATTTTTTCTCTATATATTTTTAGTTTTCTTTTTATTTTTAGTAGAGACGGGGTCTCGCTCTTGCTCAGGCTGGTTTCGGACTCCTGACCTTGAGCGATCCTCCGGCCTCAGCCTCCCAGAGTGCTGGGATTATAGGCGTGAGCCACCATGCCCGGGGCGAAAAGCTGTCTTTAAAGGTTAAGAAGGAAAACTAATCCTTATATAGTCTTTTTTTTTTTTTTTTTTTTTGAGACAGAGTCTCACTTTGTTGCCCAGGCTAGAGTGAGTGCCATGGCATCAGCCTAGCTCACAGCAACCACAATCTCCTGGGCCCAAGCAATCCTTCTGCCTCAGCCTCCCGAGTAGCTGGGACTACAGGCATGTGCCACCATGCCTGGCTAATTTTTT